GAGGGTGTAAATCCTTATGGGAGTAGAAAGCCTCATCTTTCTCCCGCGGAGCAGCTGGTAGTTTCGAACCGCTGACCTTAAGGTTTGCAGCCCAATTCGTAACCACTACGCTATCAGAGCTGGATATATAGGTAAGTTTATATCAAGGAAATGGCTCACAATTGAGTCCCAGGAGTCCCAAGACCCCAACAGAAAAGAGAGAGAGTCTTTCCTGTGTGTCCATTGTATTGGGAGCAGGCCACACCCCCAAGGAAACATCCTTTCAATTGATTGGCTGCCCATAATCAATCATCATAGAGTTAACTATGGCTGCTCATAGCCAATCATCATAGAGTTAACTATGTGTGTATAAAGTTTCACTATGGGGATAACCATATCTCAACTGCCAAACCACTGGGAATCCTGGCCCAGTCAAGATTACACATAAGCTTAATTATCACAGCAGACAGAGCTTATCCTATAGCACCACACCAGGGCCTTTTAGGAACAATAGTTTAGGAGAAATACAGCTGTATATATACTTCTACTTGTCAAGGAAAAGATCAGTTTTGTACTAAAGGATTTTATTTTTAACAACTCTAAACTCCTTTGCACTTTTCAAGCTCACTGAGGATGCCAAGGAACTTTTTTATAAGTCACAACTAGTGGGGTATAAAAGTCACCATGGCAAAAGGAGAAAGAAGCAGGGGGCTGATAGGGAAGAAGAGGGCAAAAGAGTGTAAAACTGAAGTAGGCTAAAGGCTCATCCCTGGGTTTCATCCTCCTGTCTCCAAACGTTCAGCCCTATGACCTGGTTAAGAATGGACACTCCTCACTTGCTTGAGAAAATCCAAAGAGAGGAAAAGAGGAATAAAGAGTACTAAAGGAAGGAATTGTGGGAGGAACATTGGGAGCTGGAAGCCATTGCTGTTTCAATGCTGAAGTCTCTTGTTTTTCACCTAAAAAGGCAATACAGTAGGGTCTTCATCAGCTTCCGTTGCTGCATTTATTCTCTGAATGATCATATTTAGCCAGCAGAGAAGGAAGAGGCAAAGAGCTCATGCAAGGGTTCACTAGTCTTGATCTCTAAGGTCTGTACTTGCACAGGAAGTGCCGGAGCTTGTTGCATTCATCATTATTCCAAGTTGAGAACTCTGTAAGAAAACACACAGACATTTAAATCCATCTGGCTCCATACCTGAAATTACCAGAGTTTTCTGAGTCTTTTGCATGGAGTAATAGAAATAATAGAAGAAGAAAAAACTGAAACTTTACACAAGGTTGCAGAAGCTCCACTCAAACATCACTTTCGTGGGCAAAGGCATGGCTCCTTGCCCACAGATTTGATGAACTGGAAATGAGGAGCTCTCTTGTGTATGAAATAGGATGCTGTGAAGATGTGAAGGTGATCTTTCTTAAAGCCCACAACTGAGAACAAAAGACTCTAAGAAAGTCATGTTTAATGTTCAAAGAATTAGAGCAGGTTCTGCTCAAGGCACTACTTCTTTCACCTTGCTCAATTGTGAAGAATGGATGAGAACTAGAGGAGGTGCCTCCAACCCCAGTTTCTCTCCCAGAAACCAAGATCCACAGAGTCACTTGACATCTTGGGGTGTCTGCAGCAGTGTGACAAGTTGTTCCCTAGTTGTTTATCAGCATGATGTTTTGCCACAGACTAGCCTTGGTGCATTGTGTACCTTGGGGATGGGATGAAAGCAAGGGGCAGATAACTGGGTGGCACGGTCTACCAAAGGGCTGATGAGAGCTTCCTGAAGCTCCTAGTTCTCAGAAGGTAAGATGGGTCCTGCTCATACCCATATCCAACTATACGCTTGCTGGGCACTATCACCATGGCATGAAGCTGCTAGCTAGAATCTGACCTAAGAGCTGATTGGATCTGATCTAGGGACATCATTATTTACAGTTGCTACTTGAAACTGAATCTCTTATTAGTGGGTCCTCTTGAGGTTACTACCCAGTGAGTACAGAGATAAGAGAGAATACCAACTTCAAACAACCTAGGAGAACACAGTACGCTCCCGAACAGTCACTAACTGAGGGAGATGTCTGTTTCTAACCTTTTCCTCCCTTCCTCAACACCACAGTGGTATGTGCAAGGAAGGGTGTGTGCAAGGGATCATTTCCTGCCCCTGCTTCACTCCAGGCCACTGGAGTCATGAGAGTCATTAGCCTAGTGCTCGACTGCTAACCAAAAGGTTGGAAGGTTCAAGTTCATTCAGCGGTACCTCAGAAGAAAGGCCTGGTGATCTACTTCTGAAAAAAAAATCAGTCATTGAAAATCCTGATTCTACACTGCAAGTCTGTGAAGACTTTCTCTTCTTTCCTCTTATCATCTCTGAGGGTCTTTCTCCGCCTTGCCTCAGAGTTTATCTCCACATGACCTCTCACTCCCATTTCACACGTTAGAATGTCTTCTTCCTACCCCCACCTTTTTCTGTCTTCACATTTAAACTTTATTTCTTAGACAACAGTAAACCCTTGCTGCTTGTCCAGCCAGGAGCAGCGGGTTTCTTCTTCCACCTGGGCCCTGGCACCTAAGCCCTCAGTCCAGGCCCAACCCAGGCCTACTTCTTGGCTATATGGGGAGACCTGGAGTCATTGTGAGTGTCTTTTAGACTCACTGGAATGTTCTCAAATTCATGACCTTTAACTTCAGCTATTCTTTTCAGCTTGAAAATTCTGTTTTTGTTTTTCGGCTGAAATCTTCCACATCACTTAGCTGGGTGGGACATTCATCTGCAGACATTTTTGGCTGTCAGGCTGATGTAGGACAGGAAGGTTATGCTACTGAGCAGAGATCAGGGATGCGCTTAACAGACAATGCGCAACAAAGAATTGTTTGGCCCCAAATATCATTAAAGTAGTGTTGGAAACTTGACCTGTTAGTTTAAAAAGCAAACAAAGACAGCAGTCCAGGACAATGAGGAGTCTCGAGTGCTGATGTACAGCCTGCAGCTGTGGTTCTGCTGCTGCAATCTGGGGACAAAACTCAGGGAAATGAACAAGAGACAAGAATCTAGACAAGGACTCGGTTTCCAGGGCTCATGAAGGACCCCGATTTTAAAGAATCCAGAAGGGAGGCACCCCATTTCAATACATATAGGAGGGTTTCCCAAAGTGTGACCTATGTGCTTCAGGCTATAAAACATGATTTAAAAATGAATGTATATGAGAAAAAGTGACTAAATGCAAAGAAAATTGGCTAAGTAAGTAACTGAAAAGCTGAGACATTAATATGGCAGAGAGAGACAGGACACACCTTGTTCTGTAGAAAAGGAAAACTTGCTGGTGTGAGATGGAGAGAGACCGGATGCCCATTTTGCTCCTAATAGGTAAAGGGAAGGTGCTGGAGTTTGGGAAGAGGTAAAGGGTGGTGCTGTGATTAAGTGCTCGGCTACCAGCTGAAAGATCAGCAATTCAAGACCACCAGCCACTCCATGAGACATGAGAGAAAGAAGTGGCTGTATGCTTTCAAAAGGATGATAGTCTTGGAGACCCTATGGGATAGTTGTACTCCATCCTATATGGTAGACCCTATGGGACAGTTGTTCTCCATCCTACATGGTAGCTGTGACTTGGAACAGACTTGATGGTAGTGAGTTTTGGTAAGGGTGATGCATTAGAACTTACGGTGACTAGAACTTATCTCAGCACAATGCTTGTTCTCGCCCAAGGATTTGCCAGTCCAGGTTTTGTATAAATATGAAGACCCATCAATCCACCGCCACTGCTGCCTCTGCAAATGAAAAGAGGTGGGAGACATGAACTGACAGCTGTTCATAATCACAACCTAATTGTCATTGGAAACATGGGGAAAGGTCAGAAATGCATATAAAAAAGGAACTTGGAGAAATCACTCATTTCAATGTTCCAGAGAAAAGTATCACTGATAGTTTAGCACATTTACTTCCAGTG